TTTATTTTTTTGGAGTGTGCATCTGTGTGTGAGATTGTGTTTGTGGTTATGTGCGTCTGTCAGTGTTTTTGAGGGACCATTCACACTAGTACAGTGCGTTAATCACACAGTCCTGTGCAATAAACGCACTGTACCATGCAATCGCACCTACTATGCTTTCTGGTGTGGGAGGTGCATTGCATCTCCCACCCACAGTTCTATCGCCCTCATCGGAATGCGCGGTACCACAATGTCATGTGTTCCATTGCAGTGCAACTTGGGTCGCGACTTAATGACCAAGGACAAATGTGGGTCCTGAGGCTACACTGCTTGAGAACCACTGCACTAGACCATCTGAGCCGACTCCCTGCGTCTGTGATCACTGAAGCGTATCTCTTCCTCCACTGCACAGATGGACGGCTCCTGGCGTCTTCAAATTTATACACAGTCTATACAGAGTGTATAGAACGTGATGACACCAGGATGCTTAGACCGCTGCAGCAGAGGGGGAAAACCCTTCAGGCACAGGTCTAAGTACAAGCTGGCTTGGATGGTCTAGTGCAGTGGTGGCGGACCTATGCCACGCGTGCCAGGGAGGGCACGCGAGGCCCTTTCTGCTGGCACGCGAGCCCAGGTTCAGTCCCCAAAACATTAAGGCAGCCGAGCTGTCTAATGTCGACGGGGAGAAATCGGCGAGCAGCAGGAGAAGGGGGACGGAGTGGCAGGGGGTGGAGACAGAGGCAGATAGGGGCGAGGATGGGAGGAGACGGGGGACTGAGCGGCATGAGACAGGGCCGGAGACAGAGTGAGATCGAGGCGGAGATGAGAGGACGTGAGGAGACGGGGACGGAGCGGCATGAGACGGGGCGGAGACAGAGGGAGATGGAAGAGGCCTGTGAACACAAGGAAGAGGCAAAGGCAGAGACCGCGATGGAGGAGGCGTCGCCAAGGGGCCAGTCGAGCGGCCGAGCTGAGACGATTGGGCGCCGAGGCAGCAGTGAAGGCTGGGCTTCCAGTGTAAGGTAGGAGAACTGTGCTGGCAGGGCCCAGCATAGATTATGCACATAGATTTGCAGCCTGCAAACCCCCCACAGATCCTGCACAGCCCCCCTGAGATCTGGCAGACTGCGGGGTCTCTGCAGGATCTGTGGGGGGCTGTGCCAGATCTCAGGAGGGCTGTGCAGGATCTGTGGGGGGCTTTGGAGCCTGCAAAACCCCCCACAGATCCTGCAAAGCCCCCCTGAGATCCGGCAGACTGCGGGGTCTCTGCAGGATCTGTGGGGGGCTGTGCCAGATCTCAGGGGGGCTGTGCAGGATCTGTGGTGGGCTTTGCAGCCTGCAGAGCTCACCACAAATCCTGCTAAGCCCCCCTGAGACCACAGCTTTCCTGCTATGCTAATAGCGGAACATGTCAAAAGCTGGATACAGTGTTTGCACTGTATCCAGCGACTGACAGGTCACGCAAAAAGTATTAAACAGGAAGGGGTGGGGTAAATTTAGTGGGGGTGGGGGCGCCCGAGTTTTGCCTTGCCTAGGGCAGCCCCAATACACCACTGCGTTCAGGGACCACCAATTGAAATAGATCCGACTGACCCGGATCGCCTTGGTATGCGATCCGGGCCAGTCACAATTAGGCAGCGGCAGCCAATAAACAGGTAGGTTAGACGGCTGCTTCCTCCTCGCTAGGACCCCGGGAGGCCCCTGCAAGCGGCCGTCTAATCTGCCTGTTTAGAGGTCACCGCCGCTGCCTGATTGTGACCGGCCCGACTACAGAGGCGATCCGGGACGTTCGGGTCCCCCGTGAAAGCCGTACAAGGCCGTAAGGCAGTGATGTTGAACGTTTCTTAAACCCGAGCGCCCAAACTGCAATATTAAACTTATTTTCAGCGCTGGCACTTTGAGATAAATTGATTTTGCGTCGCAGTTTGGGCACTCGGGTTCAAAAAGGTCCGCCATCACTGGTCTAGTGAGTGTAACTTTTTACTGTGATCCTTTAATAAATTATAATTAACCCCTTCGTGACTGACGACGTACAGTGTACGTCGAAATTAATAAACTATAATCTACGTATATTGCCCTTATGACCAGACTGGTCTGCAAAAGAGGTCTCATTGTGGATAAAATGCCTGTTGTAACTATTGCAACCATTCAGTCGTCATCAGTCATTTAGAAAATGAAAGCAAGCTTCCAGTTGATATGTGTAACATTCGGAATGTATAATTCCTCAGGTGTTTGGACATTAGGCATCCTTTTCTTGGTTTATAATGTTGTTTTTTTATTTACAGACCTCCTGAACTTCAGTTTTACACCAGTGCTGCTGCTGTAATCATGTTAATCCCAACATGGATTTTTGTAATGGTGAGTGGTAAATATTTCTGGTAAGTTGAAAAATATACTGTATAAGCATTATGTGAAAATAAATGTGTATTTATATCAGTGACTATGCTGATAGGAGTAGTGAGCAGAGGGATGTATCATTAATTTCCTGCTGCTTCTTTAGTATCCAATCATCAGCAGTTTGGATGTATGTTCTTGACCCAAGCTAATTTTGAATCTTTTGGCAGGTAAACAAGTTCCTATGTATTTTTAATGGTATTTAGCCGCTTGTATGGAGTTCAACTTTAAAGGGTAGGTCCAGTTTCTCACAAAATGTGAAAAAATGAACTTACCAACTCCACTTCGCTACCTCTCCCTGCCCCCACGGTTCATGCATTTACACAGCAAGCACTAGCCAGCCACAGCTGTCGGTGTACAGTCTGTACGCTATACACTGCACTGCAGCCATGCAATTAATATTAAGCCTAATGCCCACAAATGGTGAGCGCTGATTGGTAGCACAGTCACATGACCAAGCACTGAGCACGTCTGAGCTGAAGTCCCACCTGTCATTTGGACTGCTTTTGGATGTTCTTATTGGTTTAACAATTCCTGCATCCTTCAACAGACTACAAGAAAAAACTATTTTACCATGATTACAAAAATCCTAATATGCAGTCATATGCCATTTGGGAAAAGTAACTCATCACTAATAACCAAAAATGAAAAGGGTAAGTCATGATAAAGTATGTTCTTACAGCTCTTAAACTGTCACACCTGCTTCAGTGACCATCGCAAAACAAGAACTTGCTTAGATCTCTACATTAGTCAGATCTATTCAATTAATAATTGCCTACACAGATACGGTTATTAGGATCTGTTTATTCAACAAGTGAGCACTTGCCTGCTGAGTTTGGCTCATTCCCAGACAATCGTCGTTCATCACTTTGCTCAAGACTGGCTTCCAGAGTGATCGGTGTAGAGAGAAGAGATGAGTGGAACTGTAACACATTCTACAGTAGGGTCTAGACTCCAGAGATAGAGACATCATCCTGACCCTGTACAAAGCATTAGTAAGATCTCATCTGTCTCCATCCTTCCTTGTATTATAAGAGGTATAGACTCCAGAGATAGAGACATCATCCTGCCCCTGTGCACCAGTTCACAAAAAGGATGTTGTGGAACTGGAGAAAGTGCAGCAAAGGGCGAGTAGACTCATAACAGGCATGGAGGAGCTCGGCTATGAGGAAAGATTAACTGACCTGAATTTGTTCTCTCTGGAGATGAGGCGATTAAGGGGGGGACATGATCACCATGTATAAATATATAAATGGTCCATATAAAGAGCTTGGTGCTAAATTATTCACTTTAAGGTCACTGCAAAGGACAAGGGGGCACTCTTTGCGTCTGGAGAAAAAGAGGTTGAACCTTTGCATATGGAAAGGATTATTCACAGTTAGAGCCGTGAAAATGTGGAGCTAGTTCTAGCTAGATCAGTTAACTGTTTAAAAAAAAAATCTGGATGTATTCCTAAATGCACAGAATATTACTGGATATTGAGTTCTTATAGGTATATTAAGCATCAGAGATTGTTGATCCAGGGAATATCCGATTGCCTTATGGGATCAGGAAGGAATTTTTTCCCCTGTTGGAGCAAATTGAACCATGCTTTATAGGGGGGTTTTGCCTTCCTCTGGATCAACAGGGGGGTAGCTGTGAGCATAGCGTTCTGTTTTAGTTTTTTCTGTTGATTTTTGTTTTCTTTCTCTGATATCTATAGGTTGAACTCGATCGACTTGTTTCTTTTTTTCAACCTGACCAACTATGTAACTATGTAATGTTTTAGGGCAGGGGTAGCCAAACCTTAGCCCTCCAGCTATTGTAAAGCTGCAAATTTTATTATGCCTCTGGGAGTCATGTCTGTGCACACAGGTCTGTCAATCACAGAACGCCTTGTTTCCTCCCCCAACAGTGTCTTGCAATGCCTTTTGGGACTTCTAGTTCCACAATATCTGGAGGGACGAAGTTTGGCAACCCCATGGGGTATCTATCTTTCGTTCAAGTAACACTAAACGCCGGAGATAAATCTTAATAATACATTCAAGTCTCTTAACTACTAACAAAAATGTATCTTATTTGTGTATCACTCGGATGTAGATCCTTAAATAATCTCTGAATTGGTGCTGACACTGTCCTTCTGGAGGGGGGCTACTTTTGTTCCCCATGGTCCCTGTGCGTGCTGTATAGTAGTCACCGCTCCAAGCTCACTCCCGGGATGGACTACAACCTCAATACAAATTAGTAAACTAAACATGAGATTGTAGTCCATCACAGGAGTGAGCTTGGTGTGATGACTACTTTGCAACACACACAGGGACCATGGGGTATAAAAGTAGCCGCCCTCCAGAAGGGAGGACAGTCTAGGCAGATATAAACATACAAATTCATTCAGCTTCATCAATCATTTTCGGCAATCATTTTATATGTGAACGGATGTATTTTTTAAATGTTAGCAGTGTAAATATCTTAATTTTGCCCTGGCATCAGCCTCTTGCAGCGCCAGTAAAGCTGGGCTGGAGTGCGAAAGGAAGAAGCAGTACAAGGAGCCAACTGCATGGGTATTTTTGAAACAAAATCCCCGGACTTCAGCTTTAATTTGAGTTGTATTAAATCTTGATCAAACCGGCATGTTCTGCCTACAGAAGAAAATGTATACACATTTGGACTACAGGCTCCTATATTACAGAAGTCATGTACCACCAATATAGGATAACATCAGTTACATGGATACTTTACTAGGGCAGACAACTTGTTTGATCTAACACCCACCAATGTGTACTCATAGTTTTAAGTAAACCGGATATGGATTTGTAATCTGATATGGTATTTCTTTAGGTAATGTGTATTTCTGTGGATATGATCTGAAAACCTATTGGCTTTATACAGCTTATGTAGATTGATTTTCTATCATTACCTGTACTGCTAAGCCTCAAGAAAAAAATATTTGTTAAAGCCACACTCCAGGAAAAATTATAATTTACACACTGCACTGGGTGTGTGAATTATTGTTATAAACTTGGGTGTTATGTGCGGAGGTCTGCCGCAATGTATAGAAATCTTACCGTGCAGCATGCCATCTCCTCCACATAACTCTCGCCTTCCAGGCAATGAGGGGAGGGAGAGATGCGACCCCAGTAGTGAAAGTCACAAAATGTCTTGTATTTTTTCAAAGCATACAAGGCATTCTGTGATTGGAGGAGGAAACTAGGCATTCTGTGATTGGAGGAAGGGGCAAGGATGTGATATCATTTGTCCTCCACCAATCACAGAATGCCTTATTTCCTCCTCCAATCACAGAATGCCTTATTTCCTCCTCCAATCACAGAATGCCTTATTTCCTCCTCCAATCACAGAATGCCTTATTTCCTCCTCCAATCACAGAATGCCTTATTTCCTCCTCCAATCACAGAATGCCTTATTTCCTCCTCCAATCACAGAATGCCTTATTTCCTCCTCCAATCACAGAATGCCTTATTTCCTCCTCCAATCACAGAATGCCTTATTTCCTCCTCCAATCACAGAATGCCTTATTTCCTCCTCCAATCACAGAATGCCTTATTTCCTCCTCCAATCACAGAATGCCTTATTTCCTCCTCCAATCACAGAATGCCTTATTTCCTCCTCCAATCACAGAATGCCTTATTTCCTCCTCCAATCACAGAATGCCTTATTTCCTCCTCCAATCACAGAATGCCTTATTTCCTCCTCCAATCACAGAATGCCTTATTTCCTCCTCCAATCACAGAATGCCTTGTATGCTTTGAAAAAATATATTTTTTCAAAGCATACAAGGCATTCTGTGATTGGAGGAGGGAATAAGGCGTTCTGTGATTGGAGGAGGAAATAAGGCATTCTGTGATTGGAGGAGGGAATAAGGCGTTCTGTGATTGGAGGAGGGAATAAGGCGTTCTGTGATTGGAGGAGGGAATAAGGCGTTCTGTGATTGGAGGAAGGGGCAAGGATGTGATATCATTTGTCCTCCACCAATCACAGAATGCCTTGTATTCTTTGAAAAAATATATTTTTTTTTGTGAATGGGCGATAGTGAGGAGGGGCGTGTGATGTGACCGGAGCACTTTACCGCTCAGATCGCATCTCTCCCTCCCCTCAGTGCCTGGAAGCTGAGTGTTATGTGCAGGAGATGGCATGCTGCAAGGTAAGATCTGTATACTTTGCTGCAGCCTTTCCACACTGCTTTTTAAAGAAGAATTCCAGGTTTTAGAAAAATTAACCTTTTTTTGTGAATGGGCAGTAAGTAGGAGGAGTGAAGCATTTCACCGCTCGAGTCACATCTCTCTCTCCCCTCAATGCATGAAAGCCCGGTGTTATGTGCAGCAGACAGCATGCTACAAGGTAAGATTTGTATACTTTGCAGCGGCCCTTCAACGCAGCTTTTTAAAGGATAACTCCAGGGTTTTAGAACACTTAACCCTTGCAGTGGGGCTACTCCAACACTGCAAGGGTTAACTGCTCATTTCTCTCTAGGGGTTCAAATAAAGAGGAAATACTTACCCGATCCTGAATCTCGCCTGGCCACTAGACCAGTTCCCACAGCCTCTTCTCCCCCAGGCTCTGGTGCTCTCAGGACACATGATTCTATTAGACATGAAGACGCCAAGGAACATAGCAGAGCCAGAGCGTAGGGGGAGATAGGTGAGCTAGGACTGAGGATCAGGTGAGT